ACTGGCCGTACTGCTGGGCTCAGCTTTGTGGACAAGTGTGTTCACTGTCCGGCCTTTTCCTTCTGGTGCAAAAGTGTTAAACACCATAAACTAAGGACAGAGTCCTTCCCACAACAGTCCTGAAATCAGACGTCGTATTCCTGAGGTTTTCTTCCCAGTGGTCCGTCCAAAAAAAATAAAACAACAACAACAACAAAAAACCCAACTCTTTTCTCTGTCGACAGCTCTTTCTTTCACACACTTGGATTTTTTTTTAAACAGGCCAAACTCTATGGCCAAAGAATTAAAATAAAACAAGATAAAAAAAATAAAAATAAAAATTGGGTTTTCACCCGGACCGCCTGTAGGGACGCCCCCATTTGCTGGGCCCAGCTTCCATTGTACGAACAAGCGCGTCCGCTGTCCGGCCTTTCTGCCTTTTTTTGCTGGTGCAAAAGTGCTAAAAAACCATACACTAGAACGCTCAACTTGTTGAGCTTCTAAGATCCTGCACTTAGCAAAGGGTTAACCCAAGGGTGTCCCTTTGGGCAGGGCCCTCAGCCAGAGCCCTGCCCGTACCCTGGCCTGTACCTGATCCCTGCAGCTGTGTTTGGCCGCGTGGGAAAGTTACCCACGTGCCCAAACACACTCTAATATACAGGGATACTGGTCCCTGTATATTAGAGGACCAGAGGACACCCCCAGCTCTTTTCCTCCTGCTGCTGCTTCCTGTCCGTCTCTGTGTTGCTCTACTGTCTGTGCTTAAGGCTGTACACCCCGGGGTTTTGCTTTGCTTGCTTTCTGCTATGTAATTCTCTCGCTAAATGTCTGTATGTATTTTTCCTGCTGTTCATATGATTCAGTGTATTAAACTCTGTTCCAAGAATTTTACTCTTTTCCAGAGCATCTTTTTGAGTGTCTTGATTTTAATTGGATCTAAAGAGGTTGGATCTCCACATCGTTGGTGGGAGAAGGTTATCAGGATGGCTTCAAAATTTGCAACCACAATACACGGAAGGACTATAAAATATGCCATCTGTATGAACTGATATGTATTGACAGTCCATTGATCTGTTTCTTTGTAATTCTACTATTATTTCATGTCATGGTCCAGGTGAGTGCAGCGGTTTTCCACCGGAGCACAGTCGCCACCCCTGGGCGGAGTCGCCGTGCACTGGCATTTCCACACGCCTGCGGGCGATTGAGCTGCTGACATTTAAGACCAGCATTCACCGCCAAGTGATCTGCCACCCTCAGTCACTGCTGGCCATCACAATTCTTGTTAAAGTTTAGAGTTTGTCGTAGTAAACATCTCAGCTTTTGTTCTCCTCCATAGCCTCCTGACTTTCACACACCACCATTGCTTATACTCTCCATAAGTCTAGTTTCTCTCAAAAATCTTAGTAATTACATTTACCTGGAGAACAGAAGCTTTATGTTTTTCTTCTAGGCTCTGTGCATCATTAGTTCATCGCTCACATTCAGTTATCTTTGTAAAAATGGTGTAAATAAAGTCTTGTAGTCACACTCTCCACAGTCTCTGTGTGCGCTCCACTTTTGAGTCTTTTACCGGGTTTGGCCGTGACAATTTCATTTACTCGATGACAGAAACGACAGAACGCTGTTCAAGATGAAAGGAGAAGGTCGCTTTTAATATCTTTACTTTTACAGTTAAGTAATTAAATAGTGAAGATGTTTACTAATTGTGCCCATTTAAGCTTAACTTTTATTTTTATTATATTTAATAATGTTAAGAGATATATTCTAAAACACTCTTCAGTAGAGAATCA